GTATTCTGAATATTTAAAACACTTTGATGTTGACTGGCATAGTTATATTATATAGTGTAAAGAGACAACATAGGATTAAAACAATACTAACTTTATAACACTGCTTGTTCTGCAAATTTTATTCTGAATTACCACTAAATGAAAGATTCACCTAAAATGCCCTCACTCAAAATGTGTATATTACATATTTATACTACAGTACCAGTGGGCCATTCAATTCTAAATACATACAATCAGGCCTGTCGACAGAAATGTGGGGGCCTGGGACAAGAAGTCTCACATGGGCCCCCCATAATATAAATTAGTGAGTCCAATTCTGAGCCCCTAAAACCTTGGGGCCCAGGACAACAGAGCCCTTTGTCCCCCTCTGTCTACTGCCCTGTATACAATCATAATGTTATTTTAAAAATGCATTTTAAAGACATTTTTTGCGAAAGAGTGAGCTTCCAAACCTAATTTAACATTCATTCTTTAATGAAAAGTAACTATGTATGTATGTTATTAGGTGCTTGTTTCATACTGAGTGTTTGTTTTCATACTTGACAGTTTCGACTGCTCTCTCACGATCTTCCACAGAGTCACGTGATGTTGCTGTGACGTGTCCGGTCAGCTGATTCATACTGGTTTTGGCATTGTCTTCTTACCGGTAGATACAGGAAACAAAGTTTTGGTCTGAAAAAAGAATCTAATAGCATCAGAAGACCAAATGAACCTCATTGAACTATGCAAGTGCTTGTAATTATAAGCAATACATTAAAAAAAAAGCAAATACAGTTTCATTTGGTCTTGATGTGTACAGAGGCTGGTGAATGAGTATAGAAATGGGTATAGAAAAGATCGAGAAACAGAAGCCCTGTCCATATTATTCAGTCCCGCCCACTTTTGTCTCTAAACACTCCAAAATTGTGCTTTTTTGTGGTGACTTTTATGGTTAAACATGGATCCCACTCATGTCATTTAGATTTGGGAAAAGTTCTGCATCTTAAATATGACATAAAGTCAGTTCATTTGTGTAAAATGTGCAATTTTCATGTGCACCAACAAGTAAACACTGCGCTGATTCTCTGGGGGGATTTAAAACATCTTTATTGTCCATATGGAACTTATTTGCTGTCAGGATCGGCAGGACCATACAAATATCTCCGGAATAAGGTGAATAGGCAGAGCAAATAATAGACTGGTGGATGTAGTGAAAGAAGACATCAGACCAAGCCTTATCAGATGAGCAAAAGACTAAATAACAGGCTGGAGTAGTGAGTGTGCTCTGCTGTTTGTATGGGTCTGTCTGCAGTCGTACTATTAAACTGTAGTAGCCTGTGTTTAACCGTAGGATAGTGCTAAGTGGGAGAATGAGAGACTATTAGGCCCCATAATGTGTGGGAACAGCAGCTCTCCTCTCCTCTGTGATCACAGACTTTTACAATCAACACAGAACTCAGAACTTAATCAGATAGTCAATCAGCCACGATGGACAGAATGCTCAAAATCAAGTGTTACAAATACATTTTAGTAAACGTACTTAAATATTCTGCAACGGTTTATAAGATTTGTGCCTGAACTGAACTTAAATGTACTGATTTGAGATGTTTAGTAACCGTCGGTGTAGATGGATTGTCTTGAAAAGGGAAAAGCGGGCAGATAACATAAGATGACTCTTCTTTCTTGCTCCTTTTCATTCATTTCTTGTGTGTTTAATGTTGTGACACTGTTGATGTCTTTTTATACTTTATGAATAAATAAACAAATAAATAAATAAGAACTACACTTATCCATGTTGTAATAAAGCATGATGATCTCTACTGCCCCATAATATTATAGCATTATTATTCAAGAAAAGGTTAAGTAAATGTATAAGTCACTTTTACCCATCAAAGTCTATGTCAGGGGTGTCAAACTCAAATTCACTGAGGGACAAAATTAAAAACCGAGTCTAAGTCGTGGGTCAAACTAAATATTTACTGAAAAATTTCAACAACATCTGCATGTTTTCTCTTCTTTTGAGATATGTAATGTTAAAGCTTTTCTTATTAAAATAAATGTTTAATAATAGTTTTGCTTAAACATTGAATCCAGAACAAGCATAATATAAAGTAATAACATTTTAAATAAATAATGTCTCTATAGTCTGTCTGTAGTCGGCAGGCAGCTCTGATACATGTTTGATATGATCTCACGGGCCAAGTATAATTATATCTCACGCCAAATGTCTGGTCTCTGTAGTAGACTAGGGACTATTAGAAACTCTAAAGAGACCTGCTTGTTTGCATTGTCTTGATTTGCCTGGGATGTTGCAGTGTATGGCATTAAACTATTTTCACAGAAGGTGCCACCAGGGTAAAGTACAGATCAGATCAGTGGAGAGGCAACCCCACTCACAGTATGAATGTTTTTGAAAGTGTTTAGCAATTAAAAAAATAAAATAAAATGAACTGAGTAACTGCATGGAGACAAGCAGCTCCACCAAAAAAGTTACACTGTACACCTTTAACTTGGCTTCACTTAGGAAATAATACCATTTGATTGTAATATTGTTGAGGTAAACTATTGATATTTTGCAGTGGCATCATGCTGGGGGGGTTTATGTGTATCTATATGGCAGAACATTCATCGGTTACCATGGTGACATAAGGCAAACACAGTCAAAAAAGTGTATAGATCTGAAAACTCAAGAAAAAAAAAAAAACTAAATAGATTTTAAAAACATGTTCTTTTTTCAGACCTAGAGTTTCATTTCATATACCATATACGAAACAAAACTCTAGGTCTGAAAAAAAGAACCGAATAACATAAAATATCGGAAGACCAGATGAATCTCATTGGACTATAGATTTAAAAAACACATTTTCAGAAAGTAAATAACTGAAAAAAACAAACTTCTGGCTTCTGTGACTGTGATGTTATGTGCGAGAGACTTGTTTAAGAGCACAAATCACTTACATTTCCAGCTAAGCCTATTCTCTGTGGTTAAATTGTGTTAAAAGAAAGTTCAGATTAAAGTAACAGAGCTTCAGACAGAGCAGTTCTTACAGTTAGCGTCACACCCCCAGAGAATGTTGTTGACAGCAGTTGCAAAGTATCAATTGCCTTACATAATTCAAAACTGACCAAACTAAAAAAAAAACCCACAAATAAAAACAAAAACATGACACATTCCCATGGGTTGTAAGTACATGTTGTGTCCTAATGCCTGTAATAGAGCATGTGTCTGTTTGTCCTGGAGGCAGTGACAGTGTGTGTGGGAAAAAGCCCGTAAAACCTGCCCTGATGAGGGGGCTCCGTGTGGGGATGCCCAGGATCTGTGGTTATCCGAAAGACCACATGGAGAATCACAGGGCAGAAGAGTGGACAGGTACAGGCCAAACAGGGGTCTTGTTTATAAAACTAAACATTGAATTCTTACTGAAAATGTGCCTACAGACAAAACACAAACTTCCTCATCTCTAAAAGACCCATGGCGCAAAGTTTGGGGTTTTTGGACCAGACCGCACATTTCTATGTCAAGTTTATAAATAACAACTGTAACACGGGAAGTCACATACGTAAATTTTTTCTATGTATACTCACTTTATAAATCAGATCCCAGATGATTGTGGAGATATGGCCATTTTCTGGTGCAGCTCAAAAGACTAAAGCATTGTTTCCCAAAGACTAGGTTGCGACCCTCAAGTGGGTCACAAGAGATTTTTTTTGGGTGACCTTGCCATGATCTGCGTGTAGATCCACAATATACAGTTGAATACATTGATCTGTGAGCTTATCGTCACTCTGGATAAGCATTTTGTCAGAATATCCTGTCCTCAGTAGGGCCAGTATTTTTATGCTTATTCCTTTCACTTGAATTGGAATTTTCTGTGCTAAAAAACTAAAACTAAAAATCCTTTATTATTAATCTGTCTGCATCTCCAAAGCTCCAAAGGCTTCGTTCCACCTTGTGATGTGATGAAGCGGTAGTTTAAGTCAGCAGCTACCTCAGTATAGATCGCCAGTTTTAGGGCTGAAATCATCCAAATGATTCTAGTGTAGGTGCGTGGAGTTGAAGTTGCCCGGAGTGGAGCACTTCTTGTATTACCATATGACATCACAAGGTGGAACAGAGTGTTTTCTAAGAACTTAGTCTAAAATACAACTCCATGTGTGTTTTTGATGAGAAAACAGATCAGAAAACAGCATATGTGCCATTTAAGCAAATATGTCCAGGTAGGATGTACATGTTACAATAGTGACTGTGTTTGATTTACAGAACACCTTTTATGACACACAAAATATATTGCAGAGACCATAAATTATCTACTGATCATTTCTCAGATCTCTCAGTTTTGTGCTCCTACTTTGTATTACCTCATCTGAAGCTGCAGTTAAAGTCATCGGTCCTTCCAAAACTGCCACATTCATGGTCTCACGCTGCCATCTGCTGGAGGCTTGGCACAATGCAGCCTCTCGCTGAGAAATGATGCTGACTGGACAAGTGGGTAGAAAGTGTGCACGTCATTAGGGATCTAACAGCAGAAATATTGTGACATCTTATAGTCAAAGGTCTCACAGTATCATCGTGGGCCATTGCAATATAACAAATTAAAAAACTTAAATACAGGCCATGATCCTTTGCCCTGTTTCAGTGCAGACTACATTAAGAATCAACTTTGAAGCACTTAAAACTCTTTGGATTATAACAAAACCAAAGGCTTATCAAGGCTATTTATAAAAAGCATATTTACAAATGTTAGCTTCCACAAAATATTGCAATAATACCATGAGATTTGGATATTGTTAGCTCCCTAGTATTAATTTAAATGCAACTGTTCAGTTGAGGATAGGTCCAAACTACAGTAATTTCCCCAAGAATTCACAGTATATCATCAATGTGCCCGGCCAGTCCCTGCTGCTGCTCTGCTTTGGCCAAAAAAAAATTACCGGTAAGTGTATTTTGCTGAGTATCACAGTGAGTCTTGCTCTATGCACATTTCTGGTAATATCTGCTAAAAATCAACAAAAAGACAAAGTGTTTTTTGTATTTTTTTATTTAACAAATTTCCACAGCTCCAAGGACATGTTCAGTAATTCCTGTGAAGACAAAACCAAAGGGGTTCAATTAAAACAGGATACAGATTTTTTTTTTTAAACCAGTATTCTAAACATGATATAATACAAGATAACTTTTTCATTTCATTCCACATTGGAGATTACCCACTTCCTAGCATTTGCCTGAAGTAATACAATTTACTATAGAAACTGAAGCTTTATTGTTGGTTTAGCTGAAGCTTGGTGTATTGGCAGTTACTCATTATAGGTGTGATGCTCCAATAATTAAGCAGCAGAAAGAAATGTGTAGTTTGAATTTACTCACTTGGCAATGATGCCATCATTTTTGGCCAGCCTCAAGAGGGAGTCATCAGACTCTCCCTGTCAATGACAAAGAAATATCAAATTAGCTCAGTTTACTCAAGTCCCCAAAATAACATTGGTTCCATTATCTAAAAATCTCACGCAAACACCTCTAAAAAAAACCCTCTAAAACCAGTTTGTCAAATGAACTCGCGTACAAAAGCTGAGCTACCAAGTAATTTTAAAGCAACAAAAGCCTGTTTATCTATGCAAGGGACAGTGAGAAACAAGATGCTTTTATATATCAATGCAGGTACATTGTGGACTACATCAGCATGACTGTTTTCTAAAATAGACTGAAGATTAAGTGATGAAGCAATAATACAACTGTGTGCAGCTGCAAGTTCGGACTGTCCAGGTGCACTGTAGCCCAAGACATGAAACCTTTTAGGAGCACATCAAAAGATTTACAAGCGCATACTACAAATTATAGACACATTTCTGCTTTATGTGCAAATGCAATGTGATGTTTAATGCAGACAGATTTATTTTTGAAAATAAGTCATCTGTAAAACCGATTGAGCTTGTAGATATCTACATGTTTTGAATAAATATGAACTAAGTAGATAAGAATTGTCTAGTTCTCCCTCAATGCCGCCTCTTAGTCAAACATTCATTCACTTGATATATATGCAAATATATCGCTGGATCACCGCTAAATGAAGTAACAATCAGGTGCTCTTCAGAGATCTCGAGTGGGAAGAATAACTTGTTAGATGAAAGAAGAAAAGCAAGGCAATCATATGCTTAGCTTTAATTTTATTTCACGTCAAAGCGTTTCGACTTCGACTTTCGGCACGATATACATCACTTGATATAAAGCCCGAGTAAGTGTTCACTTCATTCTTATCATCTTAAAGCATCTGAAAATAACATTGAGGCTGCAGATTATGGAGAACAGCAAAACATCAGTCTGCACTTTTATCAAACTCCAGTCCCCGTCCTCTGCAGGGACACAGTGTAGAGCGAGTTTACAAAGATTACTGTGCATTTGTTTTACTAAAGCTACTCTTATGTTAAAAGACGTCAATTAAAGCCATGAAAGAAGTGTATGGAACGGCGCAATGTCACAATGTCGCATGTGAGAGTCTTTATTAGCTTAAACTAAAAGACTGTTGAATTAAAAGGCAAGTCCTGGACACAAGAGACAACAGCGATATCCATGAGTCACGCTCTGGTCACAGTTTAGACCACACCACATCACCATGGATCTATAATACTTTAAAAAGGTTCATCTAAAATAAGCCTTTTTGCTTTTATCACAAAGACCAATCTAACTACAGTTACACAAAGCAGAAGTTCTTACCATTCTGCGGATGGCACCACAGATGCCGTAGGTCTGGTATTGGCCATTGAAGCGACCGGTCGTCTTGTCCAACTGCAGCACAACAACACACAGTATTATTAGAGAGAAAGTGACTGATAAAAGTACACAACTGCACACAAAACATCTGTTTCATTCATGACATATAAAAAAGGAGCAAAAAACAGTGACATTAATGCCACCTTTTTTTAAACAGTATACATGATCAACTCTTCCATGTATCAGTTTTACCTCAGCGATGTTGATCTGGACAGAGGCGTGGTCTTTAGCTGCAATGATTCTGTTGCTTGCAGAGCTGCACCAGAACAAACAGAAAATCACAAGCCTGAAAACTGTATTTGGACATTAGGGTGCAGGAGAGGAATTTAGATTTAATCATTAAAATTTAAATATTTCTAGAACATTGAAAAGGGACTGGAGAATATTATTACATTACAAAACAAATACTGTACTTTCAGGTTTTACTTCAGTTTGTCAAATGTATTAACCCTCTCAGGCTCAAATTAAGTTTTAGTAACAGGAAAAATCTGATATTTGGGGAAAATTATCATATGGGGTAGTAACATACAATCCTGACTTTTTTTTGAGAGAGACCTTCACATCCAATGCGTTCTGGGATGTTTCAGATTTGCAGCATTGGTCCGGTGTGGTAAATTAACACTGAAGACCGAAAATGATATGAACACTAACTTTATGTGTATACCACTTTTCATAACAATGAAAACATAAAGCAGAGTGTAACAGCTTTATAGTGGCAGAACAACATCACTTTTTCGTGTGGTGTTCCAAGAAACAATTTCTATCCTTTGTAAACAACAAAAGTACTTTGCACTTCTGGCAGACTGTTTGTGTGTAGTCATTCTTGCACAGTCTGCATCGTCCACGTTTATCAGTATGGATGAGAAAAAAGGCGCCGGAGTAAAAAAGGCTCATAATATATGGATGTGGAGTAAGTAGGTAATTGGCATTTAGCTGTTGCAAATCTGCCTGGAGAGGGTTAAATCAATTTAATTTTGATTACACGAAAATGTACAGTGTAATATTATATAACCTTTACCATTTCTAAGTTCAGATTGAAATCTCAAACGCAGTGTTTCCATTTTTCACTTACCATTTACGTGGGACGTAAAGGTCCACGAATTCACCAGCGTCGTTCTGCATGTCTGTGGTTTAGACAGAGGGCCGTCTGAAAGAAAAAGAAAAAACAGCAGAAATATGAAGAAGATTACCGCATAATTGAATCTTACATTAAACCTACACCATGAACAATGCAATTTAGACTAAGCGATCACACTACATCACAGACAAAAAAAACATGTATGTGGATTAATGTTGACCCTAAATATTATTTATAATATATATTTAAAATGAGAAAATAAAAAAAAATAATAGATCGCTTTAGCCTTTAGCATTTGGAGCTAACGCCGCGGCCGCATGTGGCTCTACGGGAAACACGGACTCACGACAACGTCAACAACCCCGGCTTTAAATGGCGCGATTAACGCCGCAAAAGACAAAAATAAGTTCCCAACAACTTTAACTAACCGTACAGTAATTGAAAAAGAGAAGTTGGAGTGATTTAAAGACGTATTTTATGCATTTTACGACGGGAACGCTGCAGATACTGACCGTGTTCGACAAATGGCAGACAGGAAAGAGAGAGGACCGATCCCGGAAGTAGAAACTATGGCTGTGTCCCAATTCGAGGGCTGCAGCCTCCGAAGGCGGGTTTTAAGGCCGCATACGTCACTTCTGGTGAAACAAGGCCTGTCCCATTTAATTTTTATATCATGCAGCCTTCACACATGGATCTATTAAAATAACATAATAACTTCACATGCAGCCCTAAAACCGGCCTCGTTTCCATGGAGATGGGGCCGCGAACGGAGGACACATCCGATTATCCTTCGCAGCCTTCAGTATCCCAGCATGCACCGCGCGTCAGCAGTCAGATGTTCGAAAACACAGAGCGAAAACACGGAGCAAAAAGCCCGTCCGGAGAACGGAGAAAAACATGTCAGTAACACTTTTAACTTTAGGAAATCATTACTAACGCAACTGTAAACGTAAAATACGACCATAACTCCCACAAAACTGTTAAATAAGTTTGTTTTTAACTGCGTGAACCGCGGAGTCTTGAGCTAAAGTTTGCCTAGTAATGTGCAGCTAATGCGATGAAAAGTCCGCTCCAACTTTCATATTTGGACAGATTTCCATCAAACACTAATTATGTTTTTACTGTTGGGGGAAAAGAAGCCCACAGAGTGATTTAAAGAAGCTACGAGGAGAAAACTCCACGTTTTCACGGACAGTGTAAACATGTAAACAGTTGGTCAGTGTAGCTCGGAGTTAAGATAAAAACACGAATTATTTCATACATTCAACTAAAAAGACACAGTCTGACTCTATCAAAGCTCACATAATATAAGCCTCCAACGTGTGCATTTCATTCAGGGAATACATTATATGCGTTTAACAATCCCTGCATGTTTGTAAAGTGAAGAGTATATAATATCCTGCCTGGACAGGTCAGATTTATGATGGACATGAGGCTCATTTAACAGATTTGTGCAGACACTGGTGTAGATACGACCTGATTGTATCTGTTAGGTCTGTCACATCTAAAGTTATAACAATGAGAAATCTGTTTTACATGAATTTTCTTTTCTCATCTGCAGCCTCCTGTATGAGGACGCGGCACACTGCAGGGGCCATAGAACTGTTGGCTGACAAGATGTTTGTGATTCATAAAATGGGTCAAATGCAGATGCCAAAGTAAAGGCCACACTGAGCTGGAGGTGCTGACCCAGACTCCTGCCAACGATTAGGTATGAGGCATGTTACACTGAAAATTCTACTAATAATAAGAGCTGCAAATGAATCATGCTCATGTTGAAATTATGATTTAAATTGTGAAAATATGCGTTTCTCAAATGTGTGGGATTCCTCTATTCATTTAGCTGTTTCAGATATAAACTGCCTTTGAATCTGAATGTACATCAAAGTTTAAGTTTAACGTTAAAAAACGTTTATTGTCAATTCTTCATACGAAAAACATATAAAGAATCGAAATTGTTTTTCTCACTCCCTTGCGTATAAATAAATAATAATAAATGTAAATAGTACGGGTGGAGTCCAGGTGTTCTTTGGGGCTGCATGCTCTGTGAAACTTATTTTCCTCTAATAGTTTTGTAGTGTTTTTAATGTGTGTGTCATTACAGGTTTTCACTCTGCAGGACAGAACTTTGAATCAATCAGACGTAACGCCCATTCTGCTCGTCCTCCTCCAGAAGACAAGAGATACATCAGACTGAGTGGTCCAAGTCCACTGTCCATGTCTCCAATGCCCATGTCCAGAGTCTCTGAGGAGGAGGTCCAGAGTCTCATATGATCTGAACAAGTGTGTGAGACAGAAATGAAAACATCTGCTCACAAGTTTTTCTGAATGTTTTTCAGTCTGTACTGACATTTGATTTATGGTGAAATGTGCCATTAATTTGGTGTCTCTTTTGATAGTAACTAATTACATGTACTATAAGAATGTACTATTGTACTGCAGATAAGATGTGGTATTCCACATGATCATATTTGGCAAAGATAATTTATTCATTTTTGATTGTTACTTGCTTCAGCAAAGAGAGAACACAATGAGATTTACTGACATACAGCTGTTTGTACTAAACTGTTAATGCAGAGTGTGTGTAATGGGTTTAATGTTTGACTATTCATATTATGATAAAGTATTTCCAAAAGTTCCTTGGATTGTTTAATAAACCAGCTTTTCTCAGGAGAGATGTCTTTCTTTCTTTACAAATCCTTAATAATGATAATATTTAGTAATGCATATCTCATCATAGTTTTTGTAAACTTTAAGATAATTTAGTCTATTTAAGATGTATCCCTTAAATATAGCCGTTTTGTTTTGCAAAAGTTAAACATACATTTTCGTTTTTGGCCATAAGATTTGGATGCGAATTATTAAAATAATTTGGTCACAAAATCCGACAGTTTGATGACCTGTGCGTATTCTTTTTACTGATCCGTGTGCGTATTCTGCGCGGAGCGTGTTAGCATTAGCATTAGCTCTAGCAGCGTCCCTTGGTTGCTGGGCGACGGGGGAGCGGCTCCGAGGTCCAGACCTGTCCCATTTCCACAACGGCCTGGCGTCCGCGGAGGCCAGTTCAAGGGCTGCAGCCTTCGCGGCCGACGAAGGACCCAGCCTTTGCAGCCTTCGGAGGCTGCAGCCCTTTGAATTGGGACACAGCCCATGACACTCATATTATGAATGCAGAATCTCTCAGTTTCAAGAGGGTCTGGCTGCAGACACATGGGGAAAGTGGAGCTCCACTTCAGACCGGAAACACGTGACCTCCACCGAAGACGTCATCTCTACTTTTATGTAGAAGACCAAGGGGGCGACGAAACGATTTATTTTGACCGGAATTAAATGATTATTAAATAAGATTGTTTTTACGTTATGGAATTTGTTCACATATAAACACAGAGCAAAACGACCATCTGGAAGACGGAGAAAACATGTGAGTAACACGCTTTTAACTTTAGGAAATCATTACTAACACAACTGTAAATGTAAAATACAGCCATAACTCCCACAAAACTGTTAAATAAGTTTATTTTTAACTGCGTGAACCTTGGAGATTTCAGCTAAAAGTTTGATTAGTACTCTGCAGCTAACGCGATGAAAAGTCAGCTCAAACTTTCATATTTGGACAGATTTCCATCAGACACTAATCATGTTTTTATTGTTAGGGGTAAAGAAGCCCACTGAGTTATTTAACGAAGCTACGAGGAGAAAACGCTGCGTTTTCACGCACAGTGACTGGGTTAAACTTGTAAACACTTGGCCAGTATAAGTGTAATTGCAGTAAGATAAAAACACGCATTATTTCATACATTAAATGAAGGAAAAAACACAATTTTGGGTCTGTTTGACCCACTAGGAGAGCGTGAGGGTTAAAAATGTTGTATAGCATTAATGATATGGACAAACACACAGCATGTTCATGTGAAGAGTGGACTTTACTGCACTGCAAAAAACAAAACAAAACAAATAATACAATACACAACAAACCCGACTGGTGCCAGACTAAGCCATGTGTGTTTTTCAGCGTGGAGTTGGAGTGGAGTTTAACCCCCAACCTTAAAGTGCATGTGACAGGTTAGACTACTCATTTCACTCTATTTTTTACTAAAAGAAAAACTATATTACTATGTCTATAGTTTTTTGTCATTTTGTTATCTTGGTGAAGTTTATAACATTATTTCCAGGTCGGACATGGGCATCAGATATAACAAAACTTGTCTAAATTACACAACAGCTGTGATTTAATAAATCAAAAATAAATGCTAAACACATTATTTTTTAATTTATTTTTTATTACTTTTTATTATTTGGTTAAATCAATGTGTAAACTGTCAGAAAAATACCTTTCTTGTGTGTTGCCATGTTGTTTGGCTGCTCTTGTGGCTGACTGGCTGGCACACTGAGCAGTTTTTAAATGTTTGACTTACATTTTGGGTGTAATATTTTGGGATTTTGACCAACTATGAAGTGCAGCTTGCGCATTTGAAAGGATGGAAGTTAAAGACTATTGGACTGTGTGATTTGAGTTTGTTTCTTCTTGTATCCATGGCAACCCTGCATGGAGCTAGCTCTGCCAACCAGTTAGTAGCTCTGAAATGCTCCAAACCCTTTACAACAATGCAACAGGCTTTTTATGCCAAATATGGCAGACAACAGAGTGGAGAGAGAGGCTTAGGAGAGGCTTTCCTGTTGTGTCTCTAGACTTCACCTGGCTCCCCCTGGAGGCTGCTGTGATGCTGCAGGACACAGAGGACACTTTTGTCCTACGGGCGGTTACTCTCCTCACCCTGGATCTGATGTCACTACCTGTTGAGCTGCACTGAGACCTTTGTTTGATCTTTACTATTATGTTTGTATTTCTCTGCTCTATGTGACTAAACTGACCCTGAGGAACAGAGAAACTTTGATTTTGATTGAATAAATAATAAACTGCCTCTGCATTTTGAATGGAAATGATCTTCACAAACTGCCATTTAACTGATGTAAAACTATGATAAAAATTGAGCACAGAACAGGTGCTATCCACCAAACCAGGTCAGAATGAACAAATACATGAATCTGTCAAATGCACTTTAACTTTATCCAACTTAACCATGTATCTATTGGAAATGAATAAACTGTTACCAATATTTTGCTTTGAGTTTTTAAACAAAATATGACAGAATGGAGCTCACATCTGCATCACCAGTGGTGTCAAAGCTCCATTTTGTACAGAGAGATTTTGTTTGCAGTGAACTTCATGCTGTATTTTACCTGTGAAAGGAGCCGTATTATGCTATTCTCAGATCTATGTTCTAGTTTTGTTTCCTCATCACAAATATACCAAAGGTTGTGTTTGTTTCCTTCAGAAATGAGTCTTTCAATCAGACAAAAAAAAAAACCATTTTGTTCTACCTTGTGATGGCATGTGTAATACAGGAAGTGCACCATACTTCACTAGAATAATTTGGATGATTTCAGGTCAATCTCTCCTAAACAAAGGGTAAAAGGAGCTGTTCATGTGAAAACTACCACTACGCAAGGTAGAATACAACATTTTGAGCTTTGGAGATGTAGACATAATAACTAAATAGAGCCGCAAGCGGCAATGATCGGCCCTTGCTCGTGCTTGCGCCGCGCCCCGCAAACGCCGCGGCCCGCAAACGCTGCGCCTCACACGGACCCTAATAAGCCTAAACTTAAACCTTACCCTAATCGTAATCCTAACCATAGCCCCAACCCTAGCCCTAAAAGTCTTAATTTAACCCTGCAATTTTCAAAATTTGGCAAAAGAAAATATCCAAGATGGAGGACTTCCGGTTTGTAAAGGGGCGTGGTCACAATAGACATTTTTGTTCTTATTGCCATGATGCATCTGGATACCAAATTTGGTTTGGCTACGCCAACGTTTGTGTAAGGACGTCCCATTGGCAAGGATACAATTTTGGCTTGTTGCCATGGCAACACAATGTAAACGGGGTGTGAACATCATTGAGTTTTTTAATCAAGACCATGTCACAAATGTGGGTGCCAAATGTTGTATATCTGTGACAAATAAAACTTTATTTTTACATACAAATTTTCTAGGGGGCGCTATTGCACCCATTTTTGTATTTTCTTACACCAATCTGTTCAGGGTCGGGGTGTGAACCCACGGTTAAAATATGAGTGAAATTGGCCAAAGTTTGTGCAAATTATCAGGCGTCGAAGTTTGATGGTCACACTGTTTGATCTTTTAAAAAGCTTTTAACAAATTTTAATGTCGCACTTGTCTAGATGATACAGAATGATTCTGGTGAGTCTGGGTCAAACGCCCGAGGACGAGTTCGTTCAAATATGAGGACAGGAAATTGTGCCTTCGTCACCAGGTCGCCCGATCAATCCAATATGGCCGACTTCCTGTTGGTTGCCTAGCAACCACGTAATATACTTTTTTGTTCCTATTCCCATGATGCATCTGTGTACCAAATTTGGTTTGGCTACACCAAAGTTTTTGTTGGGCCTATTGGCGAGGTCAGATGTTTAGCCTGTCACCATGGCAACACGATGGGAAATGGCATGGGGTCGTCCTACACTTTTTTGATCGAGACCATGTCATGAATCTGTGTACCAAGTTTTATATGTCTACGACAAAGTAAATTTTGGCACTACCATGCAATTTCCCTAGGGGGCGCTATTGCGCCCATCTGAGATTTTCTTATATAAGTCTGTTCAGGGTCGGGGTGTGAACCCGCGATTAAAATTTGAGTGAAATTGGCCAAAGTTTGTGCCAGAATTTGTAGATTTTACCAATGGAGAGTTTATGTCATCGCTATGGCAACGCCATAAAAAATATGACATGGGTGTCACTGAATTTTGGATCAGGATGTCAAAATGGAATTTTGTGCAAAATTTCAGAAATTTTTGAGCAACTATTTGGGAACAAATTATTTTCTTCCATATTAAATTTTGTTTCAATCTATAGGGGGCGCTAATGCGTCAAATTAATAATTTTCACATTACGTAGCTTCAGGGCAGAGAGTTTAACAACTGTTTCAAATTTCATTGAAATCAGAGTTCGTTTGAGCAAAATGGGAGCAATTTGTAAATCTCCTAAATTGTGTGCATTTTTTGTTGCTTCACTGTTCAGAGATCGTAAGACGTGTGTGAAAAATGTGGATAAGTTTTGATGTTCCACGATGAAGATGCGAGAACAATGTTCCGCTTTTTTTTGGCCGACAAACTATACATTTTCGGAAACCTCAGGCGCATTGCTACGTGATGGCGAGGGTCCCTGGTCACTACGGGCGAGTCACATCGCGCCATTCCATTTTTCGGCCACTTGGAGCATCGCTTTGCGATACTAATAGGCCCTTCGCCAGCCTCTGGCGCTCGGGCCTAATAATAATAATAATAATAATAATAATAATAATAATTTAAATATATTTTAACATTATTATTTCACATTATTTTAATAGTTTTCTGGGGCGCAGTGCCGCTGTACTCCGGCAGGGGGCAGTCCTGAGCTCACAACAGTGTCGCGGGTCAGTGACGTAAAAAAACGGCGCCCTCTGTTTTAGCATTAGCATTAGCTCGAGCCGCAGTTTGTGGATTTATTTGTTTGTTTATTTGTGTTTTTTTGTGTTTTTTCTGTTTTTGTGTTTTTCGTCCAAACCCGCGGCCGGAACCATGAACCCCCCGGAGCCGGTGAGTCTGAGCCCCGGAGC